TATCGAACGCTAAAAAGAAAAATTTTGTTTGCCCTGACATATTTGTAAGCGCCTTTTGGACCATATGAGGGAACAACACAAAAAGAATAGTTCGATTAGGTGTGAAAACAAAAAAAAAAATCAGCTCTCGTGTCAATAAGACAAACTGTTAAAGAGTAAGAAAAATTGCTCACCGTCGGGAATTCTATGTTGGCTGTCTGATTTCCATGTAGTTGATATTTCTAGCCAAGTGAGAGACGTGACGCGATGCCTATCCATTTTGAAAAAAGAATGTAAGCAGCTGCTGTTTACTGCTATTTTGGAACTTTTGCAATGTGTTTTGAAAAATATTTATTTCAAAGAGAAAGGGAAATAGTATCGTATTAATTGTGACAAAAAATAGACACAGCTGTTCGAATCATTTCCGATCTACAGACTTTTCCTAAAGCCCAAACGAAATACTTTCTATTGGTCGTATTCAAATCTCTGGTGCAACTACGATACCAAATGCAGCTGAATATTGAATTGTCCGGTGCAGATATTTGAATGCGATTTTCAAAGTTTTCTTTTTTGGTCTTTAAAATTTAACTTATACTAACGTCTAATTCTAAAATAAGAACAGTTGATCCCATATTTAAGGATGCGTGTGTATTTTGCAATTAAATCACTTGAGGTTTGAAACATTTTGTCTATCCCTTATTTATTTTTCCTATTTATTATCCCCTTTTAATTTTAAACCTAATCTGAAGCAATCTGCAGTTACCTGCAAAGGAAAATTATTTTCAAGAAATGTTCTCCTGTCTCTTATTAAAATGAAAAGCTATCAGGAAAAAACACAAAATCATTTCCCTTCCGTGTCTAAAAACTTTATTTACTACTCAATTTTCCCTTCATCATGATAGCAATGCCTTATAGTTTTTCCTGTGGAGGAAAATTTACATATTTAAAGCCATCCATTTTGCCACCTAATACAGTACATGTATTCATGTACTTATCTCACACGTTTCTCTCTGCAGTTAGTTTTATAGAAGTTTGAAAGAGAAATAAAAGGAATATAGTGCCACTGATTCTGAATAAAACACAAATCGCGACAGTGCTAACATATCCAAATATAATACAAATGCAAAAATGCATGCAGTGATACCTAACCTAAACCAGTTGGACACTATGGTGAAGAAAATTAAAATTATATATTTAAAACGGAGGTTTAGGACGAACGTCGAACTTTTCATGAACGTAATTCACTACGTTTGGCTCGTCTCATGAAAAGACGTTTGGCCTAGGCCTTAGAGGCTGAGTTATTTCAAGGAAACTTTTACCAACAAGGCTTAAACATGAATAAACCCACTACAGTATTTAAACGCGAGGTGGTCTTTTAAGACCTTATTAAAATACGTATTTTCCCATAGTGATCACCCAGCTCACTCCAATAAAACTGAGTAAGAAGAAAATTATCCCTGTTGTAAAAGTAAAAGTAAATTTAAGGGAAGGAATGTTTTCGTAAATATTGTGGTGAATGGCAAACAATTAAACTAGAGTTGCTTATTGTAAACGAGCATTTTAAATTCGAAGAATGTAATATTAGTACGGCAAGGTTTTGGGATAACACTCTCAGGGAAACAATAAGGAGCGAGCGACAGTGAGAGATATGTCCAACACTTGTCGGAAATTAGCTGAGATGAGGCAGACTTTAAGATCAAGCTCTGTCAACTTTAAAATTTGCACTGAATTTATTGATAAATGGCTCGATAAAACAGAGTGTACGTCTCTTTGAATAGGTAAATATATCTGTTTTTTCTATTTTTTTTTCCCAAGCCCCTTGCTCTGAATAGACCTTGGCACCGTTTGTACACAAAACGTCATTTTAAAACTTACCAACCTGCATTTTTCATAAACTGAGTTCCGCGTTTTTTTGAGTCTAATATTTTACAAATTAATGACTAGTTTAATTAATAACTATTCTTTGAGATCGAGGAAAATATTGCTTAAGACACTATTAACCTTGAATTTTAACAATATCAGAAATAAAACCATTACAAGTTGACTTGAATGACGGGTTTATTCATGCGCGAACTGTGCATGCGTTGCGCTGAACACGCAACATGCGCTTAAGTCAGATCTTCATGTTTATACAGAATTTTCATACATGGCAAATTCTACTTCCAATCCTTTAACTTGCTATAGCGTCAATGGCTTTTAAAAGTTTAATTTGCAACCCTCGCCCAAGATGAAACTAGCTTTGCAAGTGCTGTCAGGTGCGGCTCTGATAGAAGTGGGTGTCGTTTTTCCCGACAATGAAACACACACACATAAAGCGTAAATCACCGTTGGCTTAACACTAGTAACAAACCGGCTTTACGAACTTATATGCGTTTCGACTCGACGTTTCACACTCTACATCAATGGTCAGAATATAATACAGTAAAATTGTTGTCTAATTAATTGAGCTAAGAACAGAAGAATAATTATAATTATTTTCAATTGATTGTATCCCTCACCCATTACATGTAAGCACCTTTGATTAACCCCTTTGTGATGAAAGTTGATAACGACAAAATTAAATTTTATTCTACGAAGCTAAAAGATTAAAAGGAAACAAACCGATGGTTTTTAGACCGAGGACGCATTTTAAGGGGGGTGAAGGGTAAAGAACCGTCCTCCAGGCGAACATTTTCTCTTTGTCTTAGGCGATTTTCGATGGCAACAGGACTAGGTTTTATCGTACAAAGTATTCGTCAACTAAAAAAGGGTCAGATTCCCACGTAGGTGATCGATGGGCAGGTTGAAATTATTACAAGGATTTGAGTGTCTACAGATTCACACCTCTACATCTCAAGTTGGATGTAATTATCACTGATTTTTAAATGTATTTGTCTTTCAAGTTTCACGTGTGCAGAAATATTAAAGGCCTCATTATTCCAACAATGGGGTAACCGATTGAACGATTATGTCCATCTTACACAGTGAAGGTAACTTTTCCCATCGGAAATAGCCTAAAACATCTCAAAGTTGGACGGTCTAACTTTTTTTTTGTCCATAACTGATCCTCAATTCTCAAATATTAATAACAAGGATTAGATTCAACCTTATAATGTAATTTTCTAATTGATATACTGTATGGCTAATTTGACTTTTTTAACATTTTTTTTCTTGAAAGACATTTTTTAGCAGCAGTATCCCACCTCGTATTTCCCTTCTCATTCAAATTAAGTTTTCTTCTTAAAAAGTTTTATTAACACAAGAACTAATTGTAATTAATTAGTTGTAGTCAAATACAATGACCCACTCAAATAGCCTATTGAACAACACGTCGAGTTTACTTGTGGGTCAATTATCACGCCGTTATGAAGATAGCCTGATTCTTGGACTTCTGAGGTCGTTCGTGGCCGCTTCGCTTCTCTCCGTGAAGAAGGTTCAGTGACGATGAAAATTGTGTACTCATAATGAATTCCATCGCAGGTTTACTATTCTTATATTTGAAAATCCTTCTCAGTGCTGGAGCAGAAAAAGACACAAGAATCGAAAGACGTTCCACTCTGGGCGCCATTATAACAAAGAAAGGCTTCTGTTTAAAGGGTTTTTCTTTTAAGCAGGCGAGAGTATCGAGCTTTACCTCATGTGGCCAGGTTTGTCTTAAAGATCCGAGGTGTATTTCCACAAACTTTAACCTTCTAATTGAAGACAAAAGGTATACTTGTGAGTTAAACAGCGCTGGCCTGCAAGAAGACGACACGTTGGTACCCCATAAAGGGGTGCTGTTTTCACAGTATGCTTACAAAAAGGTAAGCTTACATACATTACAATCCTTGATAACGAGAAATAACTTAAAGAAAATAAAAATAATAAAAACGAACATTTCTGTCAGTTTAAAAAGCACGAGATATTTGAGCTATGGACGCTGTTTTCATTAATGTGGCTATTGGAGGTGTTCTCCATGGTTCGCTAGGCCTTTTGTTCAGATACTGACGATTTAATGAACTTGTTTGAATATCAAATACGATAGATTGACGCTTAATATGATAGACCTCAGTTTTAACCCACTTACCAATTCTTTAAGGCGGCTGCTAAGAAAAATGAGACACTAACAAGATACGATTACGCCTTTTGATTTTATGAAGGACCACAGACTAATACAAAGGTAAAGTAAAAAACTAAACTCTGTTTACTATTTTTTGATAGCACACGTTTCATGACATAAATGAAGAGCACACGGATGGTACAGTAAATTCTTTATTCTTTCTTTGTTCTTGATATGTACTAATTTTCATAACTTTTAGCCTAATTTTCGTTAAGGAATGTTTGCGATTGTCAACTATCTGATGTTCAGACTACCAGTACAGTTCTCCTTGAAAGTCTGAAATCGGTAGGATAAAAAGACACCCACGAAGGTGCCATGATCCCTAGCCCACTCCCCGCCCCAATCACATCCCTTTGAAGTGGCTCCTGGCAATCATTATCCCTTTGAAGTGGTTATATTCGACGACAAAACAACAGTTGCCAGTTGATTTAGAGATCTCTTTTCATTCTTGTTTCAGGTTATGCTTTTGCGTTCACGTCAACTGGAGGCACTGAAGCTGTTTCCCTAAGTGGAACACCTGATCGCGCTTTGACAGAAATGACAATTTGTTTATGGATGAAAACAAATCAATCATCTGACACCAACGGAACTCCACTGAGTTACACAGCTAATGGCAGGAAAAACGAAATTGCCATAAACGACTATAAAAACTTCAATCTTAAGATTGGTCGGAGAAACGTTTGGAATCTTTTCTTAAGTTAAGCCCATGCAGCAAACGTTTTTAAGGAGCTTTTAGTAAATTTTGTAAATTTCTTTATTTATTCTTGTACTTTTTTTATTGTAATTGCATTCAAAATAATGCTATATAATCATTGTTCCTGAAAAGCCCCTTTGGGGAGGTAACAATAAGGTATGTAAAAGGGCCAAAATTAGAAAAAATCCGAAACAACTTAAGCCACCAGCCTGAGAAAAAACAGCCGACAGTGCACGACGCCACCTCATATAAATGTCATTTTTCAACATTATCACTTGAAAGATTCTTTTCTTACTTCCTTACTTCAACCCTCTGATCCGAGAAAGAAGCTTTCTCTATTTTCTTATCTTTATTGCTAGGCAGGAGCAGGGTTATGGGCTTCTGTTCTGGGTTATCAGCAGGCTACCTCGACCTTTCCCCTACCAGTGGAAATGCTTGGAGTCCTTTTTTTTTTTTAATATGGGGGCCGGCGGTTAGAAAGAAGATCAGCTATCATGGCAACTTAATTTTATCATTTTCTAATCAACAAAGCTAGCTTAGAACATTTCAGTCCGTGTTAAGGCTTTAATTTTTTAGCTTCACTTTCATTATCATATCCTGTCTTATCTTCATCGGTTTCAGGCCAATTTCAGTCTCTGCCAACGATGGGAGATGGCACCACATTTGCCTCACATGGCGAAGCTCAAATGGCTCGTGGAATTTTTATAAGGACGGAACGCTGGCTGCGTCTGGCTCACCGTTAAATGCAAGGCATGTGATTAAGGCAGGAGGATGTCTTGTTCTGGGTCAATCCCAAAAAGACGTTTGCGGTGTTTTCAAAGCCGACAAGAGATTTTTTGGCCTTTTAGCAAACGTCAACATTTGGGACCAAGTACTTTCTTACACTGCCATTACTGCAATGTCTCATTCCTGCTATTCTGGTATTGGAAATGTTGTCAAGTGGCTCGACTTCAGCGACGCTGTCATGGGCAATGTAGAGGTGACGCCCTCAACCTGTAAACCTGAAAGTTAAAGTACACCTACTTGCCGTATAGCAGCCAGAATGAAGTCAGCAACTCAACGAAGATGTATTGTTTAAATATAAATTATCTTGGGTATACGTATTATGGTCGTTCCAAGAGATATTAAAAACAGTGCTAACGAAAAATTTTGGGTGACAAACAAGGTGTATTATAAGAGATGTACAAATGGCGAATGTGAATAAATTTCAGTCTTCCTCAAAAAAATGAGCTTCTGATGCGAATTATTCGCGAACTAAGAAACTTGTAATGTCAAATAGCGCTTACTAAACAAGAGTCAGGTTCTAATTTTTTCTCATTTTAATGTAATCGAGGCAAAGCCCAGTTTCTCGAAATTGCCGCATGCTTCAGTCAGTTAGCTGCCATTCCTTCCCTATTTATGTGAATAAACGAACAGTTTTGCATCGATTCAATACATTTTAGGCTCACATACCTCGTGAGTCATGTAACTGAAATATAGCTGGAAAATATTTGTCATGATTTTAATAGAAGTCAGCCACAATCTGGTAACGCCTCTGATCTTCGATTTTTCGTGTCAAAGACAGAGTGAAATCAGGATAAATCTTAGCCTGCATGCAAATTTGCGCAAATGTGTCCATAGGCCTTCTCGAAAAATACATTTCGGAGACGTATTTGAGACGAACAGCCAGGTTCTGGCCACATGTGGTTCAAGCAAATTCTTATATTGGCTACTTTGGAGATATTTTTGGTCGTAAAGAAACTGCTTTTCGGAATAGGTCTATTTGTTGGAAAAGGTTTCAAAAATCCAGCTAGATATAGTTTGTACTGTTTCCTTACTCATGTGTCTTGCCAAAACTTACCAAAACCAATATTTCCAAGAAATGTAACCTTCAACCGGGCAAGAACTAACGCGCGATCTGTCTGATGGCTGAAGCTCCTTTCAGAAACAATCATCGCGGAGAAACAGCTAGGCTGCTGAGTAGGGCGCAGTACAAAAGAGCGTTTCCTCAAAAGTGAATACTATGTGAGAGGTACCTCCCGTATTGGACAGAGTATGGCATGAAGTCCTTTGGCTTACCATTTGGCTTGATAAAACTTAAATGCAAACCTAATTCGAGTTATAGAGAACCTCTGCAACAAGGCCACCAGTACTGTCTACCTTTATGGCGGCATACGAGGCTGGTACAGAACGACGGTCGGAATCAGACATACAAGGCTGTCTCCTCTCACCCTCTCCTTTTCACATCTTTCTGAAGAAAATTAAGGCTAACACGCTAGAAGATCACAAAGGAATATTCAGCATCGGAGGCAGAATAATCACCAACCTACGTGTTTCCGATGACATTGATAGAATGGAAGCAGAAGAGGAGGAACTGGTCTCTCTAGTGGATCACCTGGACAAGATCTCTACGCCCTTTGGCAGCGAGATTAGAGCAGAGAAGACCAAACAACACAGGTACAGTCGTCCAATCCTGAAGTACTTTTCAGAACTGCACAGAAGGCAGCAGCAATATTGAAACTGAAGACCATCTGAAACGGCAAGAATATCGCCTTAGCTCAAAGGTCAAACTGATGCACTCTCTGGTTTTCTCGTACTCTTGTACGCCTGCGAAACCTTGACATAGACAGCGGACGTCCAGGAGAAATTGCAGGCCCCTTAGATGAAATACTTTAGTAAACTGCTTGGCATCTCGTACAAAGAGTCATCAATAACGAAACAGTCAGAGACAGAAGCAGGGAAAGGCATCGGGCCCTAAGATGACATTTTAACCACGCAAAAGTGGTTTGGGCATGTATCAAGGTCAGTAGGGCTCACGCCACTCAAGATAATCTTACAAGGAAAAGTGCCCGGAGAGAAAAGAAGAGGAAGACAAAATAAGCGCTGGGAGAATAAAATTTGATTGGACAGGGTTGAAGTTCGTTGCGCCCCAACGGTCATCATGGCAAGGGGATAGGTGTAAGGTGTACTGATGCCTCAAAAGATATTTCAAGCAACATTAATTATCTGTCGATCCTAAATATAATTACAAAGTTATTTATGGTAAAAATGACAAAATCTGTAACCTCAACAAGTGAATCATATACCACACGCCTTCAATCCCACCCCTAGCACAACCCTTTATAGCCTGTGGCGCTTTAAGTTGCCACCAAGTCCACCAGGATGTTCTCATGGCCTTTCTGACTACGGAAACTGAAGTCACTAAAGCCTGGTTTTCGTTAGCGCATAAGCATAAGCACAAGCACACATGTAAGCAAGGGAGAACACCGGCGACATAAGCATAAGCATAACCAGAAGAAGAACGGACATGTTCATTCTTCTTGTGCGTATGCTTATGTCGTAGCTTTGACTAGTGAGAACCGGGTCGACATAAGCACAAGCATAAGCACAAAGGCCTGGACCAATCTTAGGACACTTTGACCCAGAACTCATGCGAAAATATCAAAAGCAATGTGGCGTGCGTATGTCCCTATGCTCATGTTGGTGCCTATGCTTATACGCTAGTGAAAACCGGGCTTAAAAGAACCTGTTTAGATAACGACCTGGCAGGATAAAGCCTGAACAATATTTCCGCATTGTGGGGGAGCGCTGGATGACAAAAAAGCAAACGAGCAACAACAACAAAAGATATCAGTTTATTGTTTAAGGCAGGCTTATCTCATGTACGTTCCTCAATGAGAATTCGTGGTGCCCGTAATGTGGTCCCATTCGTACTGGGCTTAATTCGCGATGCGCTGTTAGAAATCTCATGCCCACCTCACGTTCTCTCCCAATCCAAAGGTAAATCCAACCAATTTTGATGCCAGATATATACCTTCCTAATGATACCTTGTAAGTCCTTCCGAATGTATGCATATTGTGATTAATCAGGGGTGATATGGCTGCCCGCGCTTGAGGTCTGGCTCTTAACATCGCAGATTATGGTACTTTGTTTACTATTTACAGGGCAAAACCGGTTGGTTCACGCTTTGGGTAGGTGGTAAGCAAAATCCAGGACTGGTAACTTGCGCCCTGGAATCGCGTTTACTATTTGTACAAATCAGTTCCATTTACCGAAAAGCGGACGCGAAGACCTGAGACGAATCAAAAAATGGCTTTGAAGAAAAGAAACACGATTTCCATATGGAGCATTCCGTCTGAAAAAAACAGGACGACCTTTCCGGATTTTCCGCTGGAACGACCCAAAAAGTAGTAGTCCATTTACTTTCCAACCGGATTTTTTGAAAACGTTTTGTAAATGTTAGTAGTGTGGCTGTTTGCTGAATTTTAGTTTTTACTGGTTACGTAAAAAGAAAGTGACTCTTCCAGTAGACAGCGGCCCAGACGTCCCAGATTTGTTCGATGGTCGGCGATTATTTCGTACAAATGAAAATTTATACCCTCAGGGGCGTCCGCGATGGAAATCCTCTTAACATTGCTGGGCTGCAGTCCCCTATCACACATACAAGATGGTGTCTCTCGAGAATCTGTCAGACTTCTGGCGATTACCCGATATATCGGCAAAATCTGGGACGGTCAGACAAAAGTAAAATCCTCGATCGTCTTGGATCTTTCCGACATATAAAAACCAGGTTTTAAGAGAACATAGACTGTACTGCATTGAGTATTCACCCGGGCACAATTACTTATGTAGCTTACACACATTATGCTTTTGAGTAAAGATCATAGACACAAATACTGTGATTTTGATACCCAATTCCCCGTTCAACTGATAATTTAATTGCATGCCATCTTGCATTCTATCACATTAAGGACTACAAAATAAAATAATGAATGTTACCGCAAGTTGTGTAAATTTAAGGCTACCTCTAAAGCATGTTTATCTTCTAGTTAAACGCTACTCTCTCTGCACTGTTCAGACGAACCGCCCTTTCAACATGCGACCACTGACTTTTGGACTTAAATCAGGGGAAATCAGCATAGTGCCATTCGAATTCACCAAACTATGAGTTACCCGCGTAACAGAAGTAGTGCTGTCACAGGTGAAATCTTGTAACAGAACGGGCTGACCCTCATTCTGTGATAACTTTCGACTAAACAGTTCTGCCAATGCTTCTTTGAATTCTGGAATCCTAAAGGTGTACACTGCAGCGTTCATAAACGAGTTACTATAGTGTAAAAACTTAATAAAGTACACCATGTTTGCGGGAAAAGTACATGTTTTGCAAAAATGTACTAAAATAAAGATGAGCTGAAACGGAAGCCAGGAGAGAACGAAAATGGCAGTTACGCATAGCAAAGTGATGCTTAGTCGGCGTTCAACGGTCATGTTCTTGCAGTTTTTAGCACTGTTATTTTTCTGATTAATTTTATACACTATGGTTACATAAGCAAAGCTTACAACGGACAAAGGAAGTGACAGAGACAAAATGACCACAGTGTAGAAACTTTCTTTAACTACCCGAAAGTAAAAGGCGATACCAATGGATGCCACACATCCGGAAAGGAACCAAGTGGCTGCGATGCAGATGAAATAAGCCTTCCTGGGAATCATTCGAAACTTGTAAGGAATAGACACCGCCACAAGTCTTTCTACAGAGACGATTGCCAATGTGAATACAGAAGACAGCCCAGAAAGTATGTCAAACGTTGAATGTACTATCCGCAGTGCTAAACTCTGTCCCCACGTCTCGAGATCCACCAGGCAAACGACAAATAGCGGAACTGAGATGGCACCAACTAGAAGGTCAGCAATAGACAAGTTCATGAGAAAGTAGTGCGTGTTTTTACGACGAGGTCTGGTTTTTACAAAGACCGCTAAGGCCACTGTGTTTGTCAGAATAATCAAGATGGACACAACACCATAAGATGTCCCCCAGAAGGCTGCTTCAACGCTTGATAGTTGTGCTTGCGAAGATTTACTCAAGGAAACCGACGAATTGTTCATCTTTTCTCTGACGGAAGAAAATAATAATAATAATAAAACAGACAAGTTCAAACCGCGGGTGAGTTACTTGATTATTGTTGAAGCTTGGACCGGCTTAACATGATTATTCTCTCCTAAGCATAGCCTGTCAAATGTTGAATTACTAATAAGCGGCTGTTTTGAAGTCATGATTGTGCACATATTAACACACTTAACTTATCCGGCGTCCACATTAAATGCCACATTTTAGTATGATGTTTGCAATACAAAATATGATAACTGGAGTAAATATGTTTTTCTATACCTACCAGCAGTTATTTTATTAAATTTATCAGCATATTTGAACGTTCTTTTATTGAAAACTAGACGCCTTATCATAAAAGGATTAGTAATTTTATTTGCCTAAGCCCTCTTTACATAGACGTGACAACGTTGATTTACCTTTTCATTGTTAGCAGGTATTCATCGCTTGGATTAAACTTTACAGTACACAACTGATTACTTCCCTTTTACAACAGACAGTATTAGGATTATGGCCTTCATATTGCTGCAAGTTGTGTTTTATATTCTAAATTAATCAAGATGTCTCGGAAAACATCTATTTACTGACAGGTTTACATTTACTGCAGGGGCACCCAACGAGAATATAGTTCAAAACCATTTAAACTAAGCATTGTTAAACGTATTTTAGTATTTAAACGGTAGATAAAGGCATATTTTTATCCCCTAAAAATTTTTCATCTGTTCGGATTTCCTAGCTGAAAGTCTAGTGATCCGAAAATTATAGAGATCAAAACTTACTTTTCGAAAATTTCAGCCAGAAAAAAGGCTCCCGAAAATTCTAGGTGACCTTTTAGGGTAAAAATCCGTTAAAAATAGGCAATTATACCATTTTTAGATGTTCGAAAATCCTAGGAGAGGCAGGCAAGCAAGAAATTTTACAACAAATATTTCGAAAATTCTAGATCTCAAATCGTCTTCCGAACAGATATTCTTCCGAAAATTGTCGTTGGGTGCCCCTGATTTAATTGCGATAAAGTAAATTGTCACGGCAACAACGAGAAATACAGAAAGCTGAATAGTCATTAATTAGACACATAGGCTACTTCAAACTGAAGGTAGATATGGTGCGCTGTATCCATTTAGCCAAAGCTTCCGGTTTGAATTTGCGACAACTTCCTGGAGTGAATGGAACATAATTTTTAAAAATTTCCAAAAAGAGGGCAACCTCAGGTGGTATAGCCAAATTGTCGACAATTATTTTATGATGTTCACAACCACCTTTAAGATAAAAAAAAAAAAACATTCTATGATTTCTGATGAAAAAGGCTTGTTTTTTGTTTTTTGTTTTACTTTTTTATCTGCCAATAGACGAAGTAGAATTTCTCAGAAATCGTCTGCCAATCAGTGAATATAAATTGTCCAATACGTTTTGTATATCTACAACCTTAATCAAGTCGCCAGAAGCGTCTTTGACTGAAACGTGTCATAATTATCAAAAATATCGCTTATTTTTTCCCTAAAAAATTGGTACCGTCTGAGAAGTGTATAATTGTCATGACAAGTTTTCGAAAAAATTCCAATTTACAGATGGAAATATGATTTTGAAATTTCTTTTAGTCAGTAAGCAAAAGTATCAGAACTCACTTTGCTGTTTACAGTTATATTTATTATTTGAGTTAGACTGAGCCTGGTTTGCGTCACTATAATTCTTTAATCGTCATTAACGTCCGAAGTATAACAAAAAAAACATCACGACAATGAAATTCAAAACTTGCAAACCGAGTCTTGATCACATTAACAGCCTAGGAGTTAGCAACAACTGCCAAATTCGATCTTTACTAAGTCAGTTCTTGACCCACATTTTCTTGTCGAAACAAAACTGAGAATTCAAATGCCACTGAGCTTTTCCGATACATTTGATTTATAATCATCAAAATTATGTTACAAGATGAGTGTCGTGTTATCTATTTCTACGTGTCTGCAATATCCGCCCGCTTTAATTTTGAGTTGCTTTTCGATAGCTTTCTTTGCCGGGGAAACTGATAACTTTGTAAAGGTTCTGCAAAACCACCGTTCAATTACACTGTATTCGAATTTCGATTACGGACACCGTGGTCGTCAATACGTAATAATTTTCTAAAGGAACGGCTGTATGTTAATATGACAAGATATTTCTTGGTCCCCGGAAAGAAAGAAATATTTTTCTTATCGTAAAACAATCATGCTCGCTAAAAGCTACATAATATGGGCTCTTCAAAAACAAATGATTTATAGACACCACAGCATGGTCTTGTCGCAAATATCTCGGCAGCGAAGACATGAGTCATCAATGATATTTTCGTCTCAGTGCATCCCATTTTTTTAAAAGGAAAACGTAGAAGTCATTGCGTGCAACTGCGAAGAAGATCCCGGATCTTCCTCGAAGACGCCGCTAAATTTTGAACGAAATAACTTTGGGAGTGCATAAAGTACCCCTCGGTATCCAATCACAATGCGCCCTCTTATGTCCTAGTATGGCTATATAGCAAGGCATGCTATTGAACTTAATTGCGAGGCCGACGATAAAAAAAACGCACGACACATTGTCATTAGTTAACAAAACATATGCAGACGTTTGTCCCTCAAAATACGAAGGCAAAATGACCCTCAGATACAATAGTGGTTTTCTTTTTATTATTTCTTTGTAAAATTGTATTCGAAGACTTTCTACCAGTACGAGCCTATAATGACGTCTTTCATAAAGAAAATTTAATGTTTTACTTCTTAAATAATCGCGAAAAAAATCATGAATAAGTCATGTATACTGTTTTGGCGGACACCTGGTATTATTATTCGACTGGGATTTTTTTTCTTTTCTTACCAAAACTAAGAAAATTAATAACGTAAAACACAATACATTTCGTATAAATTTTATGCAAGGCTTGCTCTTCAACTTGTTTAATATCAAAAAAACTTTTAAGAATTGATAATTCAGCAAGTCAATAAAGAATTTAACGACCAAGATATGATGACGATTGCCTCGTACTAAAAAATAAACATAATAAATGTTTATTTTAACGTGAGTGAGATATATGATGAGGTGTATATACTCAAATGGTAAATACTGACTTTGGAGACGTTAAGTCGAGAAAAAATATAAATATACAACCTAAAAATCAGGGAATCAGAAGAACGGGTTTATTCAATTTGTGGCACGTAATCTTTTCGGCATTCATGTGGAGAGAGCCCTGTAAGAAAATTTCGCCACAAAACACCTGCAATTTTCCTAACCTGAAATTTAATTTTCCTTCAATTTCTAGACTTGTAAATTATTTCTTACTTCATTCATCGACATCAGTAGGCAATTCATATTTGTGATTTTCACACTAATGCTATTAATAGTCTCAAAATTCTCTCTAATGCTAAACTACCTTATTTTTACAAGAAGGAAATGAAGTCGATCGTTCCTTGAGAAGCTGTAAATTCATTTACTGGTTACAAGCTTTTATAACTGAATCAACATTTATCTTGAATATCGACTACATTCACTGTAACGTTATTGGACAGGTATAGATTTTAAGCAAACTATGCCTTCTAACAAAGTGCTTTGAAAAAATTTCTTAGACTATTTGCTACAATTGAAAAACAATCCACAACAATGAAATCAAAACATTTATACCTACCCTCCTCGTTAAAATGTTTGGTTATGCCCGTTTGTTAGTTTAAATCAGGATGCGAGTCATAGGCTTTAGGTTTTGGCAGTTCCTTCTTTGGCAGTCTTGACAACTACTGATAACGAGGAGCGATGCGCTCAACATTTAAGATGTGAAGATAAATTATCACCTTTAAATTGCCACAGGGTTAAATAAAAATTTAATCAGCGGACAGGACGTGGAATTAGTGGATTGTGGACAGAAGATCTCCTAACGAATGGTAATTATCGTGCTACAATTTTAATGTCTTGGATATTTCATTTTTATAGAAGATTTCGATCCTCAACTTTCAATTCTTTATAATTATGATTTACGACACCCTTTAAAAGTAAGGAAAAACTCCCGCATTTTTTTTTTTTTAAATTTAGAATGAATATGACTAAGGTTTGATTAACAGCCTTGTAAAAGTAAAGGTGATTTCCTAGTCCAGGAAAATCACCGAATAAATATTAAAGAATATTATCCAGGCAAGACACAAACCTGCTTTGTCGTGAACAATTGAGGAAGATTGTGAAATTTCTGCCAGTCACTGAAAAATAGAAGTGAAGCAAATACACTGGAAATTAGTATATAACAATCCGCAAAGCACTTTGCAACTTTTTATTACCGCTTGCTTTAGAAGTGAGACTCTAAAAATGCAAGCATTTTTTTTTGGGGGGGGGGTTGTTTTCGTGTGTGCACGCCAAAAGGAAAACACGGTCCGAAGCGTTCCTAGCGGAGACCGTGGAAAGTGAGAATAAATGTCGCGACGTGACCAGTACGGCATATTCAAAAGATGTCGAGCTTTTCCGGAACGGGTTGGTCCACGAATTCTATCGCTTGAAAGCGTTGATTACTTTGGAACAAGCGAACATTTCGGTGGTCGAAAAAAAGAAGAATCTTTATGAGCAAAACTTCAGCGAAACTTCGATGGTGAGGCTAACTGGTCGGGTGTTGCAAATGAGTCTTGTGATAAGCATGCAGTTTTTTTAGGCAATGATTAAAATGACGCGTCATGTTCATCACGTTTTTGCTCTTTGGCAATGATGAAATTTCTCTCAAATCAAGGTACTTGATTTTAGTGTATTTATCACGGGTTCTCAATCAATTCAAACAAATCGTCAAATACGATATAAAAAGTAAATATCCTGAAGAATACTCGATCCGCTATAAAAGAAGAACGTGAAAAACTTTTAGCTAGGAAATCCTGTTTCGTGCAGAATTAATCGCCTTCACACTTCTTATCTAATCTCCAAGCAAGCGAGACTTAACGGTTTGTCAGAAAGAACTTGACACTTTTAAAAGAACTCAGCTGTTTGATAATGGTAATGTTTCATGTGATAATCC